TATGCCATTCTCCTGCCTCAGCCTCCCGAGTAGCTGGGACCAGCCGCCCGCCACCTCGCCCGGCTAGTTTTTTGTATTTTTTTTAGTAGAGACGGGGTTTCACCGTGTTAGCCAGTGACCTCGTGATCCGCCCGTCTCGGCCTCCCAAAGTGCTGGGATTATAGGCTTGAGCCACCGCGCCCGGCCCGATTGGCAGGATTATAAGGAATGACAAGATGTTAACGAAAGAGAGAATAGATGGCTAATTGTATTTTTGTTGTTTTTTTTTTTGAGACGGAGTTTCGCTCTTGTTGCCCAGGCTGCGGTGCAACGGAGTGGTCTTGGCTCACTGCAACCTATGCCTCCTGGATTCAAGCAATTCTCCTGCCTCAGCCTCCTGAGTAGCTGAGATTACAGGCGCCCGCCACCACGCCCGGCTAATTTTTGTGTTTTAGTAGAGACGGGGCTTCACCATGTTGGTCAGGCTGGTCTCAAACTCCTGACCTCAGGTGATCCACCCACCATGGCTTCCCAAAGTGCTGGGATTACAGGTGTGAAGCCCTGCACCCGGCCACCTAATTGTATTTTAAGAAACAACCCTCAGGTTTGAGGAACAGTTCTAGATTTCTCAAACCTAGAACTAGCTGTGATCCTCCAGCCTTTTTTTTTTTTTTAGCATTGTTTTTCCTACAATATTATCCATTCCTGTCCTCATTCTCATCTGTCCCTTCAGAATGCATTATCTAAATTCCCTTCTAAATATACCTATTCCTGCAAACAATTCAGCCTCAGTTCTTACTTCTTTAGCTCTTGGCCTAGTCCTATTAAAGCAGCTTTGGGTAAGATCTGCCAGAATGCCTTGTGGATGACTGATCATATAAGCAATTGTAATCTGTTTAGCAATTCTGATCCTAATCCCCTCTTGAGTGTCTGTTTTCCAGTAGTGCTTGGTTTATAACCATTTAGTGACGGTAGAGCAATTTTACAAAAGGTCTCCTTTAGCTTTTCCTGTATATCTCCTCCATTTAAGACTCATACCATTTCTTAGAGAAACTTTAACAAGTATCATTTAGCATCTCCAGGTTTCAGTATTCATCTTATATACTTACTTTATTCTCTTTTACAGCATTATACTCTTCTTTTATTATGCTCTTGTTTTAGTATTTTGAGTCTGAAATTAGCATTTAGTGACGAGGTCTTTCCTTTGCCTGACATATCAAAGGATGATAGACATATACTTTGATCTTCTCATTTGAAAAATGAGTTCAATATCTAACCTAGCAGAGTTGGGATTGCATAATAAGAGATAATCTTTTTTTTTTTTTTTTTTGGAGACAGTCTCACCCTGTCGCCTAGGCTGGAGTGCAGTGGCGTGATCTCGGCTCACTGCAACCTCCACCTCCCAGGTTCAAGCAGTTCTGCCTCAGCCTCCCAAGTAGCTGGGACTACAGGCACGCATGGCTGATTTTTGTATTTTTAGTAGAGATGGGGTTTTGCTGTGTTGACCAGACTGGTCTCAAACTCCTGACCTCAGGTTATCTGCCTGCCTTAGCCTCCCAAAGTGCTGGGATTACAGGCATGAGCCACCGTGCCCAGGCTGATAATCTTTAAAAAGTACCAGCTGGGTGTGGTGGTCACGCCTGTAATCTCAGCACCTTGGGAGGTGAAGCGGGAGGAATGCTTGAGGCCAGGAGTTCAGGATCAGCCTAGCAACATAACAAGACCCTGTCTCTACAAAAAGTTTAAAAATTAGCTGGGTGTTGTGGCATGCGCCTGTAATCCCAGCTACTCAGGAGGCTGTGTTGGGAAGATTGCTTGAGCTTAGGAGTTTGAGGTTGCAGTGAGCTATGATCATACCACTGCACTTCAGCGTGGGTGACAGAGTGAGACTCTGTCTCAAAAACATTAAACTAAATAAATATTGAAAGTTAGGCCAGGGTGTGGTGGCTCACGATTGTAATCCCAGCACTTTGGGAGGCCGAAGGGAGTGGATCATGTGAGGTTGGGAGTTTGAGACCGGCCTGGCCAACATGGTGAAACCCCCATCTCTACTAAAAATACCAAAATTAGCCAGTCACGGTGGCACGTGCCTGTAGTCCCAGCTACTCGGGAGGCTGAGGCAGGAGAATTGCTTGAACCCAGGAGACAGAGGTTGCAGTGAGCCGAGATTGTGCCACTGCACTGCAGCCTGGGTGACAGAGTGAGAGTCCGTCTCAAAAAAAAGAAAAGAAAAAGACAAGAAAGTAAAAAAAAAAAAAAAAGTACCAGCACAGTACATGCTACACCGTAGGTGTTCAATGAGTCATGGATATTATTTTTCATTATTATTTATAGCATCAGTTTCTTAAATTCATTATTTAGTAGGGTTATGTTCAATGAAAAAAAGGGTTATGGCCGGGTGTAGTGTCTCACGCCTGTAATCCCAGCACTTTGGGAAGCCTGAGGTCAGGAGTTTGAGACCAGCCTGGCCAGCATAGTGAAACCCCGTCTCTACTAAAAATACAAAAATTAGCCGGGCGTGGTACAGGTGCCTGTAATCCCAGCTACTCGGGAAGCTGAGGCAGGAGAATTGTTTGAACCTGGGAGGTGGAGGTTGCAGTGAGCTGAGATCATGCCACTGCACTCCAGCCTGGGCAACAGAGTGAGACTCTGTCTCAAAAAAAAAAAAAAAAAAGCTAGTTTTGGTATGAGGCACTAAGAAAGCTTCAAATATACCTGTGGAAGTTGAAGATGTAGAAACTGATTTCCTTAGTCTGGGCGTGGTGGCTCATGCCTGTAATCCCAGCATTTTGGGAGGCCAAGGTGGGTGGATCACTTGAGGTCAGGACTCCTTGACCAGCTGGTCAACATGGTGAAACCCCATCTCTACTAAATATACAAAAAAAATTAAAAAATTAGCTGGGCATGGTGGCACGAGCCTGTGATTCCAGCTACTCAGGAGGCTGAGGCAGGAGAATCGCTTAAACCTGGGAGGCAGAGGTGGTAGTGAGCTGAGATTGCACCACTGCACTCCAGCCTGGGCAACAGAGCAGACTCAGTCTAAAAAAAAATAAAAATAAAAAGTTATACCTGGGAGGGGAAAAGTGAGCTAAACAGTAAATTTGAAAATTCTGTGAGACTTCTTAGATATTTACAGTTAATCCATTTCTTAGAAATGTAAGCTCCTGCTAGGGGCTGTAATCCCAGGGCTTTGCGAGGTCAAGGTGGGTGGATTGCTTGGGCACAGGACTTAAAGACCAGCCTGGGTAACATCGTGAGACCTCCTCTTTAGAAAACATTAAAAAAATTTGCCAGGCGTGGTGGCACATGCCCGTGGTCCCAGATATTTGGAAGGCTGAGGTAGGAGGCTGGAAGGTTGAGGCTGCAGTGAACTGTTATCACTCCACTGCATTCCTGCCTGGGTGGCAGAGCAAAACTCTGTCTTCAAAAAAATAAATGTAAGCGCCTAAAAGAAATGAGCCCTGGCCGGGCGCGGTGGCTCAAGCCTGTAATCCCAGCACTTTGGGAGGCCGAGACGGGCGGATCACAATGTCAGGAGATCGAGACCATCCTGGTTAACACGGTGAAACCCCGTCTCTACTAAAACATACAAAAACTAGCCGGGCGAGGTGGCAGCGCCTGTAGTCCCAGCTACTCGGGAGGCTGAGCCAGGAGAATGGCGTAAACCCGGGAGGCGGAGCTTGCAGTGAGCTGAGATCTGGCCACTGCACTCCAGCCTGGGCGACAGAGCTAGACTCCGTCTCAAAAAAAAAAAAAAAAAAAAAAAAGAAATGAGCCCTGTATGTTGGGAACAGTGCCTACCACTGTCTGAACAGTCCAGAACGATTTACTGAAATTGATGGTGGGGCCGGAACACAGTGGTATGCAAACTGGTACTCCAGGGGCTATTTGTCTCTCATATTTCTAAGAGGTTTTGCCTCTATTTGGGACATATCATCTGCCAGATGTAGTGACAGTGAGTCAGGACAAGAAAACATTATACCAACATTGTGTTGTTGTATCAGGACATTGCACCCCAGTTTTTTGTTGTTGTTTTGTTAGCACTTCCTGGGATCATTTGATAAAGAAGTCACTTAAGGAGAATGCCTTGTGTGTATTTTTTTAATTGACTTCTGAATTCATTTCCTTATCACTGTTACTATTTGCATGATTATATGTATGCTTTCTTTGTTCGTGTGAAATTCTTCCTCTTACAAAGGCATGGTTCTAGTAATTGTGATATATAGGAAGGCAGAACACCTGAGTTCTGATCTCTGCCATAAGTGCTCGGACTTTTATCTAATTCTTCCCAGCACTGGGAGAATAAATTACTATAGTCCATGAAATCACCTGAAATCCCTTGGTAGTGCTTTTAGACTTGAAATTTTGAGGGTAAAGTTAAGACTTTCCCTCACAAGTGTTTTGGGATCTCTCGGCCGAATTTCATTCTTGCTCTTTAGAGATTTTAAAGATTGGCATGCTATTTGATTTTATTTGGTTTTATTAAGCCTTTTATTAAATAACAATATTAGGAAAATGCAGGAATTTTATTTTATTTGAGATGGAGTTTCGCGCTTGTTGCCCGGGTTGGAGTACAGTGGCGTGATTGTGGCTCACTGCAACCTCCACCTCCCATATTGGTCAGGCTGGTCTTGAACTCCTGACCTCAGGTGGTGATCTACCCGCCTTGGCCTCCCAAAGTGCTGGGATTACAGGCGTGAGTCACCATGCCCGGCCAAATGCAGGAATTTTATTTCCTCCAGTGCCTTCACCTCCTTTCTACATTCTTTCATATTTGGCTTCCTTTAGGTGCCAGCGTTTTTCTCTGTCAATTTTTACCAACAATATTCTCAGCCAGAACTCGTGTCTTTCTGCTCCTGGCATTGGCATGATTTCTTTTTTCTGCTTGGTTTTTCTAGTGTGCTTTGGCACCAGAGGCTGTTGTATTTTCTTGTCCATTGTCAGTATATGTTTTCTGATTTTCGCTTCCTGTTTGTATTCCACTTATAGTCACTTATGATTTCTTTGGGCCTTCCCCACAGGTGACAGTTCCTTCTTTCTTCGAACCTGGCTCATGACCCCACTTCACATTCCTGAAACTCCAGCAGAATATCGCTATAATATGGCCCATTCTGCAACTCACAGTGTGATTGAGAAGACTTTCCGAACCCTCTGCTCCCGATTCCGCTGCCTGGATGGATCCAAGGGGGCACTGCAGTACTCACCAGAGAAATCCAGCCACATCATCTTGGCCTGTTGTGTTCTCCACAACATCTCCCTGGAGCATGGGATGGATGTTTGGTCCTCTCCAATGACAGGACCCATGGAACAGCCCCCTGAAGAAGAGTATGAGCACATGGAGTCCCTGGACTTAGAGGCTGACCGTATTCGTCAGGAGTTAATGCTCACTCATTTTAGCTAATGTAGAAGGTGGAGAGGAGGGAGACTTCCCAGGAGTTGTGACAGACTTTCTTCCTCATCACCTTCTACACAGTTCCATCATCTAGCATGACTGAGTATTCAGATACTTGTCATAAACTGACATTTAATCTGTGTGTTTTGGTAAGGTTGGGGCTATGCCGGAATATCTTGATTCATTTGCAAATGCATTAAACCGAAACCAAGACAGCGGTTACCTACTGTGCAGTGAACTCCAGGTTGAGTACCACTAATTTGAAAGCTCAGTGGTTGCAAACATTTATGATTGTGCCTACGAAGTCATAGTAAAGGTCAGGAGTTCAAGACCAGCCTGGCCAACATGGTGAAACCCCGTCTCTACTAAAAATACAAAAATTAGCGGCCGGGCACGGTGGCTCATGCCTGTAATCCCAGCACTTTGGGAGGCCGAGGCGGGTGGATCACCCGAGGTCAGGAATTCAAGACTAGCCTGGCCAACATGGCGAGACCCTGTCTCTACTAAAAAGTGGCAGGTGCCTGTAATCCCAGCTGCTTGGGAGGCTGAGGCAGGATAATCGCTTGAACCTGGGAGGCGGAGGTTGCGGTGAGCCAAGATCATGCCATTGCACTCAGCCTGGGCAACAAGAGTGAAACTCCGTCTCCGGAAAAAAAAAATTAGCCGGGCATGGTGGTACACACCTGAAATCCCAGCTACTTGGGATGCTGAGGCAGGAGAATCCAGGAGTCGGAGGTTGCAGTGAGCTGAGATCGTGCCACTGCACTCCAGCCTGAGTGGCAGAGCAAGACTCTTTCTCGGAAAAAAAAAAAAGTCATAGTAAAGGGGAAAACAGCATATAGTCAAAACACTTTTTTGGTTTCAATTATCTGCAGATTTCAGATGAAAACAATATTTACATAGGCCGGGTGCGGTGGCTCACGCCTGTAATCCCACAATCCCAGCACTTTGGGAGGCCAAGGCGGGCAGATCAGGTGAGGTCAGGAGTTTGACACCAGCCTGACCAATATGGTGAAACCCCATCTCTACTAAAAAATACAAAAATTAGCTGGGCATGGTGGCATGCGCCTGTAATCCCAGCTACTCAGGAGGCTGAGGCAGGAGAATCGCTTAAACCCAGGAGGCAGAGTTTGCAGTGAGCCAAGATCATGCCATTGCACTCCAGCCTGTGCAAGACTCCGTCTCAGGAAAAAAAAAAAAAAAAGAAAACAATATTTACTTGTTCTGGATTATCTGGGTGGCATTTTAGTTTTTCTACTTTGTTGCCTATATAGGCATAATCTGAGGCAAATGTGAAGAGAGAATTTCAGTTGGGGAATGGTCTTCTGACAGTAAATGGCTACTAATCCCAGTCTCCAGCTTTGTGCTTTTAAGAGGATATTTTAAAGACAGTCAGAAACCTCCATCTTTAGCCTGTCTGCAATAATTGGACTGTGACTTGGACCTAAATCCTAGGGAGAACATCTGGACCTCAGTTTCCTATTTCCAATCTTGAGTCGGAGTTAGAGGCTAAATGGGTTTAAGAACCCAATCAGCTTAAAAAAGGCAATTTGAATATAGATAAAATAGCAAGCTTATGCTTTACAGGCCATCTAAGGACTGAGAGAGATTGATGAGCAATGCAGATTCACCCAGGTTCAGACACCTCACATTCAACTAGATCACATTTCTTACAACTGTGATGTTAGAAAGTCTGTTTGGTCATTCTGTTTTGAAATTCCTTGTACAAAAGGAAGATTCAGGGAATAAAGAAGGCATGTGAAAGTATTAAAAAGGAGAGGTAATAGGAATATAATTTGTTGGCTTGAAATGAATTCTGGCGCTAGACCTTGGATATGCGGAGTGATGGACAGAATTTCCCAAGAAATAAATAATCCCCTAGCAAGTCTTGTTCTAAAATTACACTGATATAAAAATAACCTGATTAGAATAATGAAAGTGTGAATTAGGTTCACACATTGGTGCCTCTGCTGGGACAAAAAAGAGACTTTCCTGAGGGTTGTCTTGTTCCCGGTTTCTCAGCCACTCACCATGTGATACCTCTGACTTGTCCTCTTGGATCATTTCCTACCTCCTGCCTTTGGCAGTGTTAATCTGGTGATTTTCAAAGTAAAGAAATGAACAGCTGATGACAGAAGAAATTTGGAAATAAATTGAGGGTGACTCATCCTCAAGATTAAAAACAATTATGGATTATTATCTGCTGTTTTATTTCTACTCCAAATGCTATTCACCATCATTATCCTGCTCTATAAAGAGAGGGTCCATTTGGCAGTAGGTTGTGCTTAAAATGTACAGGGATGTCATTGAGGTGGGAATGGACAATGAAGAGTTGGCTAGAAACATTAACTCTATTCATTGTGCAACAGAGGTGCCTGGTTACATTATTTTTTTCTTTGTAAAGTTCAACTTGTGACACAAGCTTGCTTTGTTTCCCTCATAAGGCAATGTTTTAATTCTCAAGGTCTTTCCTTTTTAAGTCTTCTAAGATGGGTATTTTCCCCATAAAGTTTTGGTTGTGTTTGGTATATCCCATCAGGAAAGGGTTACTGCCAAACATGTATCATAAGTGGCAAGGTGAAGTGTGATCATGGAAAATGCCTTGCATTTTAGCCTTACATAACTACATTTAAGGAAAATTGGAGTTTTTCACAACTCACTAGATGGTGACATAAAAGACTGAGTGGGATGGACAGTCTTGGAGAGATTTCAAAAGCAATTTCAAGTCTGTTTACTTGCACACCAAAGATAATCTAAGTGCTGAGCTGACTGAACATTGGCTGACAGTGTTTCTTCCTGGGAGCATTTTATTTTCTAATAATCCCACAGGGAAACTCTTCAGATCTACACATTTAACCTCCTTTCAACCTGTAGTTTTGCAGGCCAGGATTTCTTTTTTTTTTTTTTTTTTTTTTTGGTCATTAGTTAGTTATTTCCCCAAAATGATGTAGGGGAAGGATCATGGTCTGTACTTCCAGATTGCCAAGGGTATCTTCATAGGGGCTTTTTATAAGTGTCTGAGAAAGCTTCTGCCTTTGTGGTCCTTAGTGTGGATTTATAGCTTTTTTCTGGCATGGTTTTGGGAAAGAATCAAGGATTTTCTCCATCTTATGTAAGCCTTATTTTCCCATAGATAACTCCATCTGGCCAGCATAGTAGTTTTCCAGATTTACCCTTAGATGTTTCAAGGCAGTAAGGTCTCAGGATATATCAAGGGAAAACAATATTGGGTGACCACCAATTTACCAATTCCAAATTATACAAAAGAGGGACCATAAACATATTCTTGGTTTAAGTTAACTGAATAGGGATGAAGGTGTTTTCCTGATCCTAGGACTGTAAAGGATCTAGGCCAAGTTAATCTAACTTAGGGATAAAAAACAAGACACAATTGTAATGGAGTCATATAGTGACGACATAGAAGAGGTGGGTAACGGTGAAAGAGGCTAGACAGATCATAGATATAATAAGATTTTATCTCTATCTGAAACAAACTGAAAATAGCCGCAAGACTGAGCTTCGTAGTTACTTTCCCTGGCAGTGGAGGGGAAGTTAGAAGGAGGACAAGAAAATAAGAAATGAAAGGGTTTTTGTGCATACACATGTCCTCAGGGCCCATTTTGCTCTCTAGATCCTGCCAAGATTTTCCAAAATTGTTGTGGGTATGAGAAATCACAGATTCAGGATGAAGACTCTGTTGATTATGTAGAAAGGAAGGAAAAATACTAGCTGAAGGCTGGGGACATGCTAGGTTCCTAACATAAAATTCATAGACTTTTTTTATCACACAGAAATCCTTGTTCTAAAAAAATTTTTTTTTTTTTTTTTTTTGAGACAGGGTCTTGCTCTGTCGCCAAGGCTAGAGCAGTACAGTGGAGTAATCTCTGCTCACTGCAACCTCCACCTTCCAGGCTCAAGTGATCCTCCCATGTCAGTCTTCTGAGTAGCTGGGACTACAGGCACACACCACCATACCCAGCTAATTCTTGTATTTTTTATGTAGCAATAGGGTTTTGTTACATTGGTCTCGAACTCCTGGATTCAACTGATCTGCCTGCCTTGGCCTCCGAAAAGTGCTGGGATTGTATGTGTGAGCCCCTGTGCCTGGCCCTGAATTTTTTTTTCTTTTTCTTTTTCTTTGAGACGGAGTCTCACTCTGTCGCCCAGGCTGGAGTGCAGTGGCACGATCTCGGCTCACTGCAACCTCCACCTCCCTGGTTCAAGCCATTCTCCTGCCTCAGCATCCCGGGTAGCTGGGATTACAGGCACGTGCCACCATGTCCAGCTAATTTTTGTATTTTTAGTAGAGACAGAGTTTCACCATGTTGGCCAGGATGGTCTTGATCTCCTGACCTTGTAATCTGCCCACCCCAGCCTCTCAAAGTGCTGGGATTACAGGTGTGAGCCACCACGCCTGGCCTTGAATTTTTTTTTGTTTTTTTGAGACGGAGTCTCGCTCTGTCGCCCAGGCTGGAGTGCAGTGGCCAGATCTCAGCTCACTGCAAACTCCGCCACCCGGGTTCACGCCATTCTCCTGCCTCAGCCTCCCGAGTAGCTGGGACTACAGGCGCCCGCCACCTCGCCCGGCTAGTTTTTTGTATTTTTTTAGTAGAAATGGGGTTTCACCGTGTTAGCCAGGATGGTCTCAATCTCCTGACCTCGTGATCCGCCCGTCTTGGCCTCCCAAAGTGCTGGGATTACAGGCTTGAGCCACCGCGCCCGGCCCTGAATTTTTTTTTAATTAACTTTTGTAGAGATAGGATCTCACTCTGTCACCCAGGCTGGAGTGCAGTGGTGTGATTGTAGCTTATTGGAGCCTTGAACTCTTGGTCTCAAGTGATCCTCCCACCTCAGCCTTCCAAGTAGCTAGGACTGGAAGTGTGCACTACCATGCCTGGCTAAGTTTTTTTTGGGGGGTACAGACAGGGTCTGACTATGTTGCTCAGGCTGCTCTTAAATTCCTGGCCTCAAGCAATCCTCCTGCCTTGGCCTCTTGAAATGCTCTGAGATTATAGGGATCATAGGCATAAAGTATAGTGCCCAGCCTAAACTTTTTTTTGTAAACATGACTACAGACTGGGCATGGTGACTCACGCCTGTAATCCCAGCACTTTGGGAGGCCGAGGCGGGCGGATCTCAAGGTCAGGAGATCAAGACCGTCCTGGCCAATATGGTGAAACGTGTCTCTACTAAAAATACAAAAATTAGCTGGGTGTGGTGGCGGGCACCTGTCATCCC